TCGTACTCGTTGAGGGATTCCGGCTAATTTCTTCAAGTACTACTTCTCTGCGATCCGGATCAGCTGTAGGATATCCTTCATTGCTTCCTCGTCCTGGAATGCGGCCTGCCATGAAAGTGTTATGTGTGTTAATAAAAACACGGTGGTCTGGGTAATGCTCAGGTTGTGGTCCGCCTCGGCGTATAAGTTGTTCCCGGTACAGCTGAGCTGCTAAAGCGCCGTTGCCTTGAGCAACGCCATAATAATAATGCATTTCTGCATATTCATGCAACGTATAATGCATCACAAACTTCTTAGCAAACAAAGTCCAAATCAGTATGCAAAGCAGAGAAATTAGCCGGAATCCCTCAACGAGTACGAGATCTATGGCACAAAACCTTAGAATACCACGAACATCGATACAAAATATTCTTCATGAAGAAGGTTATCATGCCTATCATGTTCAAAGAGTTCAAGCGTTGATGCCTTCAGATTACCAGTTAAGAGTGGATTTCTGCGAGACAACGCTGCGAAGACAACGAGAGGATCCCGATTTTTTTGATAAAATTTTATGGACTGACGAGTCACGTTTTGAAAGAACAGGGATATTCAATATCCATAATTTACATACTTGGGCTGTTGAAAACCCCCACCACTCAAGGCCGTCGACATTTCAACACCGTTTTAGTGTGAACATGTGGTCAGGAATATTCAATATGGAATTTATCGGTCCATTTGAACTGCCGTCAAGGTTGGATTCGGTAGCCTACAAAAGCTTCCTTGAAAATAGCCTACCATTATTGCTGGAAGATTCAAGCCTGGAAGCCAGACGGAACATGGTGTTCCAGAATGATGGTGCACCATGCCACAACGCAACGATCGTGCGAAACTACTTAAACGAAAGGTTCCCAGACAGATGGATCGGACGAAACGGACCGATACGATGGCCTCCACGCTCCCCTGACCTCAACCCCATTGATTTTTTTGTTTGGGGATATTTTAAAGACATAACATTCGCCCAAGAATGTGCAAATGAAAATTCATTGAGGAACAAAATTCAAGAAGCGACACATGTGTTGAAAAACAACACACAAGCATTTAGAGATTTAAAACAAAATTTCATACGTAGGTGTACACTGTGCATTTCTGTTAGAGGCAGACATTTTGAAAACCTCTTGTAAATAACATAAATGAATAATAATCTGCTGTTCAGTAAAAATCAAACGTGTTTTTGTGGTTTTTGCAATTTTTTTTCCGAAACTAACAATTTCTATTGAGCAGAGGGTTATCCAATTTTGGGTTCGGTTCTATTTGAGCCACAATTACGGTAGCATGTAGTAAAGCTAGGTTGATGAAATTTTTACGGTAAATAGCTGATACCGTAAGGAAGTTTTTAAGATACTTACGAATAGTAAGAACATGTTTTTTCAATTTTTTATAAACGTTCAAAGTTGTTGCACTTTTTTACTTTTTTGTTATGTTCGAAGATTTTGAAAAAAATTAAAAAGTAGTATTAGTTACATGACTTGAATGATTATATCATAGTTAAGCCTTAGGTCTTAGCTACATAATCGTGAAAAAAGCAGGCATTTATCACAATTATTAACGAAGTTATGGTAAAAATAAACACAGAACTCAAAAATTCTCGAAAAATCCGAAAAAAAATCATAACTGCTAAACTAAACAAAATCGGACCATATACGTATATATGGGGGTGATTTGGGTTCCTCTCGATGTGGGGAATCTAATTTTTTTTATGACCTCACGTGTTTCGCCACCCTGTATATCACCAAACTACTCATTTCTTCTTAAATCTGCCATCTCGTTTTCCCAAAAAAGCATTGCAGTACGTCAAAAAAAAAGCAATACATCACCTCTAGCTCCATATGGAAAGTCGATAATTTTCTCAATTAAGGTTATGCTTTCGACAAGCTATATAATTATGTCCCAACATAAGAGTTCGGTACTGGTACTTAACAGTACTTACTTCGGAATTAGTTCTAGGCTGCTGGTTGGAACAAAACTAAGTAGTCATAGGTATGGGACGACCATTTTAAAAAGCACTGTATGTATTTCTTTCACGTAAACCGTGCCGAACACGTTTGAGAAGTACTTTTGCTGTCAACATCTAACAATCTAATTCCTTCGACCGAACCTGGCATCCAAATGCGCTAACAGCATTTCTAGGAAATTACTCCGAGGTCAGATTAGGGTATGAACGGGAGTAATCTTATTTCTTAGGTCCGTTTGTGGAGTGCGATGCTTGTAGAGACTTAGTTGAGAGGTTTGCAATGGGGCTGCATATTTCATTACTCGCCTCCGTCTGTCTGCGGGTCAGTCGGCAAATCGTGTAACTGGGTTCGGGTAACACCAGGATCACGGAGCAGATCCCAGCAGAGTTCGCTTTTTCCGGATACGGGACTGGACCCCTGGAGATTCCGCCCGAGTGATTGTCAACTTTGATGTGTGAAAAGCAAAACGTGGGATATTCAATAGGATTTATACGTACTTTCAACGCATGTCTACTTGTTAAGCAGGAGAAAGTGCCAATTTTCTGGTACCAGGTGAGAAAGGTGAAGTACAAATAAAACTAACTTAGGTTCCGATTGCTAATTTGTATATACCGGTTGTTTTAATTTCGACCTTCACCATTGGGATCTCGGAAACGGTAAGAAATACGAACTCGCTTAAATGGGGGCAAAGTTGATTATTTAGGTAGCTAACAAAATGCCACTTAGAAAGTTTTGAAATTCGAGGTACCTCCAGAGAGAGACAGAGGCATTCGAATTCTGATTTAAAAAATGTATAATAAATATAATAATTTTTTTTAAATAAGTAAGGTTTGGCAAATACAATGTATGATATATTATACTTTTTTGTAATCCTACTTAAAACTCTATCCATGTGTGCAAAAATCCAATATAATATCCATAATTGAAATAGAGTTGATGCTGGAGGACAAGAGACGAAACGTCATATTGTAATATGCCGACTTATAAAGGAGAAAAAGTAGCAATGTTAATGTTTAATTTATTTTGAAATCCCACTACATATGAAGTTAGGAAAAATTAAAACAATTTTGGGAATATTCGGTGTTTTCCATCACTCTCAGGAATTACTTTGAAATTCGAAACCTTTTAAGCGACCTAAATACGCAACTTTGCCCCCATCTGTGTTTCCGAAATCCTAATGATAAAGGTCGCATTTTAAACACCCGGTACACGTTGTAAAACCTTATTATAAAGCAATATTCAGCCCTGCAAGAAACTTCCCGCCGGCCATAACTCCTGCCAGACGCTTTAAACAGGGTGTTCCGTTATTGATTGACCTTGCTCTAAGTAGTTTGTATGACGGTTAAGAAAAAATAATTGCATATAAATATTATATGACCTAATAATAATTTTTTCATTCTTGGTTGTATTTTATATACAGAATATCTCAGAGACGTTGGATAAAATTCTACTTTTTCCATTCGATAGCACTGTATATAAAAAAGACATTGCATCAAACATTTTTGTTTGATTTTATAACTTTCGTATAAAACCTCTTTTTCTGAAGGCTCATACAAAAAAGATAGAGGCAGGACAGTTTACAGCGGCACACACTGTTTGAACCGTCTGGCCGAAGTTATGACAGGAAGTATCTAGCACTGCTAAATATTACTTTATAACAATGTTTTACAAAGTATATATACGAATCAGCCACCAGAATTTAAGTCATTACTTAGTTTTATTTGTACTTGACCTGGAACCAGCAAATCGGTAACCTCGACCCATCTTATCAGGTACGCAGGCTTAAAAGAAAAACTGTACGCAAAGCCCCTCGTTTTGACTTTTAGAAAATGACTAATGGGATCTTGGACTACAAGAGTTTGCTTTTGCTGGATACGGGACGGGAACTCTTGGGGATCTACAACTTTAACTTTAATGTGTGTGCATTAAGAGGATATATTGGCGCTTAGAATTACCTAAAAATTCAATTACGTTTTGGTTTCCGTAGCCTTCGTGGAAACGTGTATTTTGACACAAATGTATCGCAATCACTACTGGAAAGAATATGGGTTTTTAGGCCAAGCTAACTAGCCAAAAACCGACTCTGTTTCAGAAAAAATGCTATAACCTGCCTTACAACGGAATTATGTTATTGTGGGTACATGAAAATGACCCTCGACAAGAATTACAAAAAAAAATCGAAATGGTTCTGAATTTGTGTGATAGGGAATATGCATGTGATTCAAATATCAGAAATTTATTTTCATTAACGGTCTATATTGCTTAGAAAGACATATTCTACGTTATTTTATGCTGTAAAACATTGCAAATTTAAAACACCGAAACGTAACTCTATTGGTGTGACGCCACGGCATCGGCAAGTGAGCAAGCATTCCTTTGTCGCTGCCATTGATTATCAACCCATCAGCTTCATCAGAGCACTGGTTGACGCGAAATCCGCCAAGACAACGCCGGAAAAACAACAAAAGAAAGATATAACCTCTCAAAACTTGACAGCAAATCATGGGATCCCAGCCTGGTGTATCAGTGTTACATATTTAATTAAAAAAATATAGACATCTCCATGACTAATATAAAACCGTAAACACATATTTCAAAGTAAATAGTCGACAGAAAATATACAAAGGCATCTATATTCCTTATTGCCATATGTGGCAAAAAAGTTGTAAGGAATGACAATACCTTCAAAATATTTATTATTACAAAAAACATCAAAAATCTTCGATTTCCACATTTATTGTTCACCGGAACTTCAAAGCAGTGAATCTTAAATAATAGCCAAAGGTTAAAGCCTATGTGGTACCTGATATAAAAAAATGCTCAACGGTAGTCCTAATTGTTACCAATTTTTTTGAGAATAATGACGAACTATCCAGCGACTTTGGATCAATCAAATAGCCTCACATCCAACCTTTGTACATATTATTCGTCTGTGAATGCATACATTTTTATATGATATGAGATATTACCTGAAGGAAAATCTTTTGAATTTGATTTTATTTGATTTACCTTGAATCCTTTATACCACTCTTTGATCGTACTTTCGTCGTATCGAGTGTGCGATTTCAGGAAGTCCATATCTTCCTTGGACAGCTTGTCCTTGCTGCCGAAACACCCCATTTTCACCTGAAACAGCAGAAAAAAATATTGATTCTAAATGTTCATAGTTGAAACGGGCATGTTCGCTTTTATAGTGTCAAGTAGGTTGACTCTGAAGTTCCCACACAACGTCGTTATCGGTTCAGCACAAACTTGACCCTCTGAGAGAAAGACAGTCAGGTCCATACATTAGTCCATAGTCATTCTTTCCTAACCCTACCAATAGTCTATTTGGTAACGTCGCCTCTCCCCGATACCTAACCCGGTGAGACTTGGCACGGCAGCCACAGCATCGGAAACATTATGCTATGGCGCGGCAGTAATGGCAGAACACTTACCAGGACCGACACGCCACCATGAGCAATAGCAGACGCGTTCGTTAGGTACGCGATCCGTCTGTTGAGAATATTTTTAAGCGCTAATGTAGGGCAAATCAGTGATGTGTGAAATGTATTAATGTGCCAACATCAAAAAATTGCAATACATCCTCCCCCGACCACTAACGCCCCAATTGTTTGTACTTACTCTTCAAGTTATAGGCGGTTATAGGATTAGCGATCTGACAGACAGACCGCGATATACATGTCATATAACATCCAAAAACATAATACCTCATTTTCTAAAGTTTTCATGATTGCAATACTTCCCCGCCAGTAGAAGTGGGAAGTAAAAATTAAACTTTAGATTGAAATGTTCACCTGTATTTAGACAATTTTTTTCCAAAATACCGTGGTGTATACATAAAAGGGACAAAAGAAACCTTCTGGATGTCGTTTTCATACATTCAACACCGATTTAATGTAATTAACGTTATACCAAACTGGACCAGCTCCTTTTAGCGAACAGTTACGTGAAAATTCGTTGGCAAAGTATACCGAATCCGAAAAGCAAATTCACATATAGAGAAACCATGTTTTATACTCTCCAACGATCCTAGATAGCAATTTTTTCAGCGAAAGTAGTAGTTAATAGTTCCAGCTAAAAAAAATCAGCAGCTTGACTCTAATTTTGACCGTTTTCGAGTAATAAGCGATTCTAAAGAACACCCAAAAATTGTCAAATTCAATGATTAAGGCGGCTGGTCACAATTTGTATGGTATTTTTCTATGGCCGTAATTAGATTGTTGTGATGGTATATAGTGGTATATGCTTTAATAAGGCATGTTAATGATGAGCCCATTGTTTTTGAAAAGTAAAATGTTTTTCTAGACAATATTATCTGATAACGTTTCTACCTAACTGTTTTGTCACGTCTTGGATGGCTCATGACATATAGACAATGATATGTCGATATGGAAAAAAAAATTGAGATTGTTCAAAAAATGAACGAGATAATATGGAAATACAATGAAAAAATCCACGAAGAGATGGGAAATTTCGACTTAGTAATAAAAAATGTAGTTATTTGATAGTTGGAACTGCTTATAGAATGTACTGTGACTTAAGCCATTGCCATTGACCATTATGAAGCCGACTGTAAGAAAAAACAAGTACTCTTTTTCACGTGAACATTTTATGATGATAGTGATAATTACATGTACATTTAAAATGCGGTGGTGTACGAGTAACAGAAATGAGGGCAAGCTTATTTCTTATTATATTTCATTTTTCATAAAATACCAGATTCTTATATTTTACGTTTTTAATAATATCAATTGTTACCAATATTGACTAGTTTTTTTCATTTAAATTCTAAAATGCAACTGATTCGTTATTACCAATAATGTATTCATTCTAGAAAGCATAAATTCCAACATTTCTTTTCATAAAGGAAAAGGTTATTGCGGGCTTTTCTTTATCCTTTTATTTACTTTGGATGTTCACTTGCCTGAAACCTATCGTTCAGAGCAATTGTCTTTGTGCTCTACTTTTTTTGTTTTTTCACTCTTGTGATGTGTGTGATTTGTGCTGTTTGTCCGTCCAAGGTGCGCAACGCAATTGCCATAGAAATTGCAAGCCTTCAAAACGGATTAGAGGAGCATCCATTAGCCGAAATTTTTCTTGTAAGTATAATTGATTCAATAGGTCGATGAATCGCGTAATAACATTTTGAATAAAAGCGGATCTACTCAGCACTTATTACGCCTTTATTCATACGCCTTTACGTTTCTTTCGTCCGCTCGATACAACGATATCTTTTGATTGCCAAGTACCTAAGGGACACATTTATAGACGTTCTTTGACGATTGAGTGTTCTTTGAGAAATGTTCCTGGATTTTAAACAATAAATAAAGCCTCCTAAGCAATCCACAGTTATCATCATAGGCTGTAATGGATGTCAGAAAGATTTTCCTTCTATTCAGCACTTTAATGACATATTCTGGGCGGTTTATTTTTTTTGTGTTGAATTTTAATTAGCAACCTCAAATAGTAATGAAAAGTATATGCTTTTTCGATTTTACAGCGAATAGCAAGCCCACGAGCGGAGCGAATGAAGATAGGCAATCAGCATTGCAGCTTAATGTAATATACATTTGACAATTTCGGCGTATTTAGACAGCCCGGAAATTGTTTTACTCTGAATCTGCAAATTAAAAGTTTTTTCATAATAATAAATAACAGGTACTTAAAAAATAATGGTGAAAGTAGACACCCTAGCAACTCTACTATTCAGGTCTGTACACTTTGCTCATTAGCAAATGCATAAAAAATTTACGACGAGATTTATGTTTCTCCCACCTCATTTATTTATCAACTCCAAAAGGGGTAACAACATGCGTGTCCTTTTTTTGTTTTTGTTGGTAAAATTACACGTTTCTCATTAACTTAATAACATTTTGAACGGGAGACATGGGGAACTCTCAGAGCTGTTATCATACGGACACTCCATGTTTTGCTGTCACTGAACGGTGCTTGACGAAAATGAATGGAATAGCCATTGGGCATGGGCGGAGATATGTATCAGGCAAGGAGGTGCAAGAAGGTGGCCCCTCAGTTTCTTTGTAGGACTTCATTGTTTGGCAACATCAAACCACATATATGTTTCAATTTCTGTTTATTGTACGACGTTTAGCCCACCACGGTGGCCTTTTCCAAGAAAAGGGTGTCCTCTAACTTGTTTGACCTTCTAGAAGAAAAATTTGTGCATAAAAGTTACAAGGTCCAATATGAAGTTTTTCATTTACATTTTTTTGTTGTCTCAGAAGAAAGGTTGTATTTTTTTAAATGGAACACCCTGTATATTTTCAGTGAAAATGATAGTCTCTTTTTATCTGATATCAAATATATATGGTTTGTTGAACTTAGTTATGTCATTTAATCATATTATCCGAGTCGAAACCAGTCTGTATCTAGCTGCCTATACAATCAGGTAAAGGGCCGGAATACATTATTATTATTATTATTATGATAATTGAGATGAGCAGAGTACACAGTACTATAAGCTCATGCAGTAAATATAGTGTACGGACACGTAACACAAATACATCAAATAGAAAAAAATAAAAAAAATACAGTTCACAGCTATAAAGTTTGTACACTCCTCCAGCTATCATACTGCACTTTGAAGCTATTAACTGAAGTAGCACCAACCACACTATGATGAAATGACACACAAACTTTTTTAGTTTTGTAATCGCGAATTTGTTCAAATATAATTGCCGAAATGCTAAGAAACATTATTTTGTAACATTGTTCATCGAGAGATATGCCTTGATTTTTTCAGTTCACATATTTTTATAATTCAACCATTTAATATAGCCGAATAGTTCTCAATTTGATTTCTAAATTTTATAGGAGAGAATATTACTTTTGATTTTTCTGAATTTAGTCTTATTATATAGGGTATTTTCAAAGTTGAGTCATATATTTTAACAGCTTGTAGAACTCCTCAGTAGAAGTTGATATACCAAAAGTCTTCTATATAAAAGTTGATTAATAAGAGAGTTAGTATACATCGTTAAAAATCAATTTATATGGATACCGTTTTTACAAAAACTGTTCAAAATTGCCCCCATCCATACCATTAACGCAAAATCTTGCTTGGCGATTCCACAACTCTTTACAAGCTTCATAATATTAACCTTAAGTATGCACTCAAGGTGCTTTTTTGGGCCCATTGGTAAATGAAAATTATTTATTATTGTTTTTTTACAGCACTGCTAACCTGTCTCCCCTGGGTAACTCAGACCACGGTGTTGTGGACGTTAGGTTTCGGTCAGAACCCGCTGAGGCAGCAAAAACTCGAGCAGGCCTCAAAATTTGGCATTATGGACATGACGACTGGGAGGGCTCAAGAGATTTCTTCTTCACCTGTCCTTGACGAGATGTTTGTTTTGCTAACATGGATGCGTCGGCTGTCTGTTCATCTATAACTTATCCACGTTGGGATGGAGGAATACATCCATCATACAGTGAAAATGCCTAAACCAGGCTGGTTCAACAAATTGTGCGACACTGCTCGTCAGCAGAAAATCAAGGCACACAGAACCTTCTTACAAAAACCCACTGTAGAGAAACAGACACGCCGCCATCGAGCCCAGAAACAAATATAACGAAGCGGTCCGCAATGCACAAGACCAGCACGATATAAAGGTGAGGCACAGGGTAATGGTAATAGGTTTTTCTGGAAGCAGCCAAGCAGATTGAAAGGAACTCCTCGCCGAGTAGCCTCCCACCACTTACGTGTCAGGATGGAACGATGGTAACAGACTCAAAAGCTAAGACGGAAGCGCTTGCCAAGATCTTTGCTGACAACTTTACCATGGACGTTTCTCCCAACGCCTGAGTGCCATCGATTCAAAGGGTTCCCTACACTATGCGGGAAGTGACATTGAGGCATAAGACATAAGACCGTGCTCTTGTCACTCGACATCAACAAAGCTTCTAGTCTGGACTTGATTCCTGCCGTTGTATTGACGAGGTTTACAGCGAAGCTTGCTTCAGTTCCTTCGCGCCTCTTCCAGTTATCTTACGAATCCGGCACCTGCCCAGAAAAGTGTAAATTTGCCCATGTCCAACCCGTTCCACAAAATGGATCTTATGTTGTAATCAGAGTATCTCGTTAAAATTGTTAACAAAATATGTTTATTTAGGTTATTTCTAATGCCCCTAAATTTTGAGTAAATATTGTGGCCACATTTGACAAAAATCCCCTGTGCATATATTTTTCGTCTACTTGTGACCGAAAATCATTCTGTTATAATCACTGCCACAAATAGACAAGTGCATCACCAGATAGATGTTTAACTAATAGATTACCAACTGT